ATACAATCACATGTTACGTGTCATTGAAACAGATACATGAAGCAAACTCTTATTTCGATTTCACCGTCATTGTGGTTCTTTTCGTTAAAAATTATCACACAAATTGTCACTTTATGTCACTTTCAAAATGTTTCTCAACACTTCTTGATCTCCATGCACCATGGAGGCCTGTCACTGGTGTGGCTTTTCAAACGAAGTGCTTGGTCACGAAGTGTTGAACTCACATGGTTCGTGACGCAAATTGGTGCTGCGCAGGAAGAGTAAAAATCGATTGGCCGGTATAGTTCACCCATATTCCCACCACCATGTGCGGTTGTCAAGGGATAACATGCGATTGACTCTCTAAGCGTGTGGTGCAATAGTGATCGAAGACCATCAACTGTCACTGGTCCCGAAAGCAGGGACACATTTGTAACAACGGTTTTGTTAAAGCTGTCTGACCAGCGATAGTAAATGGTTAGGTCGGGAGCGTAGCAGTCATTTAACATTGCATCACATGAGCATTGGAAGTATTTTTTACTGCGAGGTATAACTGCAGTGATTCTACAACGTAGCACAGACATTCTCATAGTATTTGTAACGTTTGTGTAAAATATAATAATCGTATTGTGACTTATGTACTATCATAATATTTCCAAAAACGTTACTTCGTATAATATTTCAACTATGCTTTCAAAACATTATGCCCTAAACTGACTGATAGTATTGGGCGTTTTTGAAAATGCACTATTTTTAGCTTACTTATGACCGAAAAGTTTAGAAATGTTGAGAAACTTTATAAACGGCCATTTAAAGCTGCATTAAAATGAAATGTAAATATAACCGATATGCAATAAATCAATGCCAATGAGAAAACCAATTCGCGGTTTGAGAGCTTAAAACTATCATTATGAAGTATGTACGAAGGACCTCTGGTGATGTAAACACGATGGGTGATATGTACGGATAACATCGGCAGCTAATCGATTAACACATTTACTTCAGCGACACTTCGCGGACAGTAGTATAATTGTGTAAGACACTCTCGTCCAATAGCCAGCAATCTCAAGTGTTAAGTCAGGGCCATCTGTACTAACTAAAATACACTAAAGTGTACATGTCATTGGTCAAGTACGTGTATGCCTATTAGCCGCCGACCCTTTTACTCATATTCCCACCGCCAAAGTTGAATTTCCTTCTTGGAGACTTATGTTTTTGAGGATGATAAATAATCATTCGGAAAAGTTAAAGTACAAAAAGTTTATTGTATTCACAATACATAATAGGTAAGAACGCGCGACAACTTAACGGTCACTCGAGAACACGGTGGGGAGAAAGTCCGTCCGCTACGATTGACGGCAAGTGACTGAGGCATGCTCGTTGCAGCGAGAGAATGGCAGACTGCGCCAGTGTGTCGCGTGCTACCAACTGTTGAGCGCCAATTCACCAACAGCAAAAGATGAATAAATTTAGGGTGCATATACAACAGAGACCATGGATTTCCCCAAGCGCCGGTTAGGAGCAGTAGCGCGATGGCAGCAGGCTCGCCTTGCTCGCAACGCTCGGAAATCGAGTTGGGACAATCCGATTTAGAGCATACTTGACTCTGTTGGGCCTCTTGTAAGATTTCCTCCCACTCATATTATGTGGTCTGTGGGTGCTTTTTGGTTGGACTTCTGGAAAATACACTACGTTAAGGGGCTCACACACGATCATCTCCCATGGCCAAAAATTGTCATAGTCTTACGATCTTCCCCATCCTTTCCCCTATGGCCAAAAATTGTTGTGGATGAAACCCACTAGCTGTCTATAACACATAATATTCGTATCTACTAATTTGCCGATTCAATTGAAGGGCTGAGCGCAAAAGTGTCTAACTCCCAAAAAATGTAAAATTAGTTATTGACACCATTTGTTATTTTAAAGTGTGAGCTATCTTTCTGCATTGCTAGTTTGACCAGTTTTACTCTATGAAGTTGTGATTAAATTCATTAATTTTCTATTTCTGATCTTTACTGGCTATCGTGAGTCTAATTCGACTAAATGGTGATAGCATTCATGATTAATTAAAAAATGTCATTATCCTCTGTATTAGTGTTGATTTCTTATATGTCAACGAGTCTTATTGTAACTTGCACTCTCACCCAACTCGGACTTTCCTGAAGATGCCTGAAGACATCTGAAGATGAAAGAACAATAACTTCCCAAACGTTGCAATTTATTTGTGTATTACTAAATATCAATCAACTTTTAAATTTTTGTTTTGCTGTAATTTCCCAGCTGTATATAATTATACGGTACATATTAATTAATCACTATTTTTCCTGTTCATAACTCTTTCTAACCACAATTATGCAACTTTATCTTGATTTTCCTTCTTATGGATGAAGGTCATTCAGTTTGCGAATAAAAGAAAGAAGACTTGCCCTAATATCGAACCCTGTGGAACCCCTTGCTCTTTTGTCAGAAAGTCGAAATATGAGTAAATATTTTTAGTAAGGTTTTTACAAGGTAAATATTTTTTTAGTAAAGTGTTTAAGGTAAGGTTACAATAAGGCTTTTCTTTTCTTTGAGGTCGATGTTAGAGGCCCAAAGATGTCCAATTTAGCGCAATGAATGAATTCCATTAGAAGGTAATTTTGAGAGCAAAATGTTATAATCATTGGCGTCAAATGCTTTCTAAAGTTAAAATTGTTCCATTATGTGCTTCATTTGGATCCAGTGATGAAGAAACATTTTTATGAAAAATATAGCAGGTTTCTGAATTACCCATGCTGAGTTGTCACCACGTAGATTCTTGGGATGTGTTATTTGTCAGACATATTGAGTCTCCATCTGTTGTCACTGGAGACTATCTATTCTTCTTGAAGATGCGGCATTTTTCTTCTGCGTCGCATCTTAAATATGCTTTTAAGCATCGGGAAGTTAGTTGTTTTCTATCTATAAAATAGACAAATAGGTTGCAGGGCAACAGGACATTGTTGTAAAAATAGTTTGTTAATTGATATTTAGAATTGTTGCAATTTATTTCAGCGAGCTCCATTGATCCGCTATCCACGGGATCAAACAGGGAATGAATAATTACTAGTTATTATTATTGAAATGAATTAGAGAAATTAAGATTCGGACAACAAGGGCTTAACATCATTCTCGAATGGTTATTGTTGTAAAACTTTAATTATTTTACTGTGGAAAGTATTTTATAACCCGGGAAGTATATAAAAGGATTCTATTTAATAAATGTTTAGGAAATACGATTTTAATTTAATTAATTTATTGTAGTGTAGTACTCTATTTTAGTAATGTACTTTTAATTTAAACATTGTCAGTTGTTTGTGGTTTCTATACTTTTCTCCATAAATTTTCTCTATCCATTACTGGACTTTCAAAATCTAAAGAGAAAAACAATCCCACTGAAGGGTAAAGATTTTCATAAAAATGTCTGAATTGTAAAATAATTGAAATTATTATTTCACATTTTAAAAGCCTACAGATCCAGAAAATGTGCGACGATGTTTTTTTTAATTTTCTTTGAAGTGCAAAAAGGTTAAATAAAACAAAGTACACATTTAACACAGTGAAAAAACACAGATACTATATCACATACTTTCTCGAATGTCATTCGCAATGTTATACCCATGTTGGCGGGTTCAAACCCGATCGAAGCCGTGGATTTTGAGGGCGAAAAAATCCTTGGTATGCCTTCCTTCGGAGGGGAAGTGAAGCCTGCTGTCCAATCTTAGTAGATTTACTTTCATGTAAAAGATACTCAAGCCTAAATGACGCCTCTGAGCTAAATTCAAATCGCCTGTTTTTCGCCCAAGAAATACCTCCTTTCTCTGCTATTGGTGAAAGGAGCGTAGCGAAATTTGTGTGGTCAGACGGAAGAGCGGGCCTGATGGCTCGAGTCTAGCCACGTAAAATAAGGCATTAATTCAATTCAATAACTTGATTTCAAGGATAGTTTTTGAAATATAATTGTATTATGGTTAATCATGGCATGGTGCTAAACCACAAATCTTCACAAGTTGGGCATGATAATTTGTTCCACCATACCATATCAGTTCTTATACCCAGTCAGGATCAGTACACTACAACCTACAATATGCTGAATTGTCTCACTGCATTGACCACAAGTCCATTAGTCATCAGAGAGCACATCAGGACCTCTGATGGTATATTTCAAATGATCCTTTACTACAATTACATCGTCTTGGGTTGAATCCACGAACCCCTCATTTTCGGTGTATAGATATCCAAAATAGAGGCATTTGTGTGACAAATCAGCACTGACGTTGAAATTGATTATATCAACTGGATATTGACGATGGATCTGCTTCCATAGCTCCATCTCTCAGTCGAAGGATGGTTGTTGCAGTTCAATTTCTTATTGGTTGAGGCACAACAGTGTGCAATTATTTTCCGCTACCTACAGGGGTGAGTCCAGCTGATCATTTTTTTGAGGGGGGGAGCATCGTAGATGTTTGTTAAATAATAAACATATTTGTTGTTACTTTGTGTATTATTTATGTACTGTAGATATACTATACAATATTATTGTTTAAACAATTACATAATTAAAGCATTCAAGCAATTTTGCCAAATAAAGGAAGGTAAACGAAAATTCTAGTCGTTTGGGAGGGGCATGGCCTCCATAATTATTATTATTAATTGAAACCTACAACATAAATTTAACTTCTGACAAATGAAACAATGTTTAAATGATTGTAACATATTTGAAATTTTACACTATTTTACGTAAGTTTTGTAGTTTGCATTCATTCATAAACGTTGGTTTTTTGTACGAAGCAATACTAATTTCAAACTTGGCGCATTAATCGCCTTCAACCAATTAGATTCGTTTTGTCGTTTGGGCGGTCTGGGAAAGAATTGCGCACTGCCGCATTCAGCTGTTCTTATACTTGCAGTGCTGGTGCTGAACCAATGCTGAACAATCAGCAATCTCAAGCGTGTAGGCGTGGACGTTTACGTTTGCCCTCGGCGATCTGTACTTTGTTTCCTAAACCAGGAAAGAAAACTCTTATCTTACGTCATCGCAGAACTTTGAGCTCAAATCCTGTTTATCCTGCTGTTCTCCTTGCTGAGATCAGTAAATGAAAGTTCTGTAGCGTCAGAAAGATCGTAACCGGCAAGTGAAGAGAGATGTTTTTGTGAAGACTGAATCATGTCTTACAGTATTTTGCATGAGTATAAAATTGCATGAAATTGACATAATTTACCAACAAACTTTGAAGTGAGTTGTGGCTTTAGGTGTATTTAACATGCCAACGCGAGGAAGGTTTGGTCCTTTGGTTGGGGCAATTGACGAAGGAACCAGCAGTGCCAGATTTTTGGTGAGATTATTTTCCTAGAATGTATTTATGGCAATATCTCTATTGTAGTTTATTCATTAGTTTTATATATAAAATTGATGTCGTGTAACAACTACATTACTTTAGTGAATAATGTCAGCTTATGTGTGATTGTAGGTTTTTGCTGCACAAACTTCAGAAGTATTAACATTTCATCAAATAGAAATAGAACAAAAATGTCCAAAAGAAGGGTGGGTACAGCAGAATCCAATGGATATATATAATGCTGTCATCCAATGCATTGAGAAGTCTGTGGAAAATTTAATAAAGCTTGATATAGACCCTGCTGATATTGTGGCAGTTGGAATTACAAATCAGAGGGAGACAACTATTATTTGGGATTCTCAAACTGGAGAGCCATTACATGATGCAATTGGTTAGTGAACAAGTCCAATTAAAATGACTCGGTTCATGATCCAAGTATTCAGTTTACCTTAACCACTGTGAAAGCTAAGTTTTTGAGAATGTTTAGGATTGTCAGATATTCTGTGAGACTAAAGATTATTCTTTGATGTCTGTGTGGAGCTGAGATATAGGAATGTGTTTTTAAAATGTTAATTAAATTGTATTCTTACTCTGGGGCTAAGGGTGTAAGGTCTTTGCGCTAAGTTTTAATCGAATTGTTGGTGCAAATCAATGTTAATTGTTCTTCACTTTAAATTATTTTCATGGTATTATTCTTGAAAATTGATTTTTTTGTAAAAATTAATTTGACTAAAAAAGGAACATTGGTGTATAAGATTCTTATCCCAATTGTGGATTTCACCTGGTATCTTAATAATTCATAATGGCCCATTTCGTTTCTGTATGTAGTTTTACTCCTGAGTATTTTATTCAGTTTCTTCTGTTTTATGACAGTGGGTAATTTTATTAACCGTGTGTTTCAGTATGGTTGGACACACGAACTGCAGAAACTGTGGATGCCCTTTTAGCTGATGTTCGAGATAAAAATCAAGATTATTTACGGCCATTATGTGGTCTTCCAATGAGCACTTACTTTAGTGCAGTGAAAGCTCGCTGGCTAAGAGACAATATTCCGGAAATAAAGGATGCAATGGATGCAAAGACCTGTATGTTTGGGACAGTGGATTCTTGGCTATTGTGGGTATGTAACTAAACTACACTTACATGGACACTTGACATTTTTTTGTTTTTGGGCGTTTTTCTATATTTTACTAGATTTGTGCAATTTGCATCCAAGTCAAAATAATTTAAAATTCAGTGATGAACCCAGCCTTCATTTTGCCTTTTGCCTGTGAACATTGGATTTTCAAATTTCTTCTCTTTTGGAATTTGATGTGAAATATAATTGTAGTTTACTTCAATATCAACAAGCACCCATCAGTATTAATTATTTCTCAGATATTGTCAGGGTTTGACGTTGTCATTACCTGTTCCCAAAAGTGAACAAAATTTTAAGATCTCTTACATACTCTCTCGATTAATTAATTGTATTTTGTGTACAGTATTCATTGTTTTAATAATTATTATTGCTGCTACTACTACTATTTACATTTTTGGTAGCATGTGAAATGCCAACTGAAATGTATTTCTTAGCAACTAACCTTTGGCAAAAGAGGGGTTCAAATTGCAGATCAAAAGAGTTGCTAACTTACTTTTAACGCCTACGATGTACATTTAATAGATGCGTTTTATGTTTTATTGCAAATTGTTCTTTGTTTCTGAATATTTAAGAGCAAAGGAAAATTGTGGAAAATTGCATCTCAAAAATTACAATTTGGTTTCGGAAATTTACATAGTATTTGCCATTTATTCCTTTCTGCTCAGGCAATTTAATTTTTTTGTTCATCATACTTTCACATTCTTGCTTCAATTTTCATCATTCCATATCATTCATTCTCCTTCCATAGTGTAGAGAAAATTGTATGTTGTGGCAAAACATTGCAATTCTTTTTTTAAATACATAAAAACTTATACTGTAGAATTTTGATTCCGAAAAGGTTCAATCTTATTTCAGTATGTAATGAATTACTTCCTCTAAAATGTTGTGTAGTCATAATCTAGTTTTGTGGGTCTTTGACACTGAAAAATTGGTGTAGGGCAAGAGTTTCCAAACTTTGTGGCCATGACCCCCTTCAGGGATCAAATTCTGCATATGCCTCCCCTCATTAAAATTAAATTAGTCTGATCGTAATTTATTCATGTAGAAATTATTAAGCATTACAACATTATTTAATTAAATTATGAAGTTTGCGTGCTTCCTCTGTAACTTTTGCACCCGCGTAGCGAGACGCGCCTCACAGTTTGAATAAAGCTGGTTTAGGGCAAAATATCTGTCCATCCTTCTCTGTCTGGACAATGCTAGCAGGTAAATCAATGCATAGCAGGAGTTTCAACCAAAAATATATTCTTCCATCATCCCGGAGCCTCATCAATTTGAAAAGGGATATTTTGATTTTTTGGGGTAGCTTTCACATTTTCTCAAAATACTTTTTTATTTCCTCTCTCTTTTTAATCTTCTTTATTTCTTTTTTTAAAATAGAAAAAAAACACTTTTGAAAAAAGCACATGTCCTGTTTGTTGTTGAATTTGTTGAAATTTCAAATGTTGCAAAAGTACAATATTTATGAAAGAGATTTTTTACTGAATGAATTTTTTTAAAATTAGATCTTTAAGTAGGGTTGTATACATTTGTGTTGAAAATATGAGTTGATTCATAATATGAGAGATGGCTGAGGGCATCAACTGAAGTCATTGCAGTCCCTCTGATCGGGAGTCCTAGGTTTGGGTCCCGATGGTAGCAAGATTTTTGACACTAACGTGCCAGCGAGGTTGAATTTAGTCACCTCTGGAGGAGAGTTGCTCTGATCAGTAGTTTTCCTTGGTTTCTTTGTGAACGCTGGAGCAGTACTCTAACAAACGGCCCATGGACCGTGCACCTCTTCTTTGTTCTATCCTCACTCTACACACACTTACATACACTACTCTACCATACACGTTGGGAGACCGCTCAGGAGCTTAGAGCTAGTCCTGACTGGGGCAGTGCTCCACTAGTGGGAGGTACCTGATTGAGAGAAATCCTGCTAGCCATTGGTAGGTCATAGCTAGATCTCGCCATACAGGGGGGGGGATAAATATGCCCTACGCTTACAGGACTAATGGCCTTCGTAGTTGACGTGCTTGGAATCACTGTCAATCAATCTGTCATTGACTTGATTCGTGTATTTTTCTGAAATTCAAATTTCCCACACTTCTTTTGCAAGAATCTTTCAGGAGTTCTCAAAGTGCAATGTAACAATGACAACTCTACCTGCACTGGTAGCCATACAATGTAACTGAGCTCTGTTAAGCAACTTGAGACACCGTGGGTCCCTGTGTGGGCGACTGTCTGGAAACGTTGGCTACGAACAGTGTTTAGTCCCTGACCTATCAAAAAAGGATAAAAGGCATTGACTTTCAACTCACATTGACATATGAAGGACTTGTGTTCAAGAAGGATTACTCCATGTACAATGCCAAAAATTGTTGGAACATTGTTATGCAAGTGATGTGGCAGATAAAAATTCTCGGAATAACTTTTGAAATTCAGTTGATAAAGCACATATTAATAAATGTCTGTAATTTAAATATTTTGTGGTGTTTCAGTAAAAGTGATTTTTTCTAAGCCTTTCCTTTTCTTTGAGATATAAGTTTGAATGTTTCAAAATTCATCCATCACGTATTTGGCTTTCAGTGCTCTGGTAGCTGTCCACCCCTTTTATATTAAAATGTAGTCATTCTGTTGAGATATGATGTTGGTTATGCTTTGTTATTAAGTTTCATAAGATATTGGTTTGTATTTCAGAAACTGACAGGTGGTCCGGAAGGAGGTCTGCACATCACTGATGTTACAAATGCATCAAGAACTATGCTAATGAACATCAAGACCCTTCAGTGGGATGATACTCTCTGCAAGTATGTTGCATATGACCATTTAGTGTTACTGGGATAAAACTATACCTTCTAATTCAAAAACTTCTGTGTATTTAAATTTCACATTTGTTGTTGTGCTTTAATTGTAGATTCTTCGATATTCCAAAAGAAATTCTACCAGAAATTAGAAGTTCATCAGAAATATATGGTTATTTTGTTAATGGTCCACTTAGAGGTGTCCCAATTTCAGGAGTAAGTACTAATTGTGTTTACGCTAACATTTTTCTTAATAAATATTTCATGATTATTTCTTTAGTGCACATTCTAATATTTTCCATGTCCAATATTTCATATAAGCATTACACTGAATGTCTAGTTTTATTGATCAGTATTTCTTACACTGTGGAACAAATCGTAAGTTGGATGGAAATGAGAAAATAATTGAATTCAGAGGGTCCAAATCTTTGGGGAATCCAAAGGGTCCATTCTTTGGGTCCAAAATACCAAATTTTCCCAGAGAATGTTTTTGAAGTTTTCAATCTGAAACCAGTTTGTCATCTATTAATTTTTAAATAAAAAAATCACTTTTTATTAATTGATTTAAACTAAAAATATTTGTACTACAGTTACTGATTATATAGTCTAAAAGGGCCTTTGCTCTTTCTATGGACTCTGTTGATGCTTGTGCAAGGTACTGGAAGGTTTTACATAGCACTGCAGGCAGAGAGCAGTGACCTCATATCTTATGCAAGGCAGAATAAGGTGTATATAAGTAGGGTGGCAAAATTTGCTAATAAAAGTCGATAATTGTTTAAAATTCTTTCAATAAACAAATATTTTGTATTAATTGGACATTGCTGGATGAATATAAAGCAATACATACTTCATTTTATTACATTATTTCATAACTGTAAATATTCTTACATTATACATCATACAGTATTACTTATATGTACATCATGTCAGTCACAGAATTTCAGTTATATGGAAGAATTCCAAAGATCAAGAAAAATCTCTAAAATGAAAGAAATTTTAGAGACGGTTAATATATAACTAGATATTATTCCTTAAAAATACTGATATAGAGTGATTGTGGGCACATTTTTTATTTGTTAAGCAAATATTTTTAATTTTGTCTTTTTCATTTGCTAAATCAGAAAGGTGACAAATTGGTAACAGATACCTAACTTTAAAATTTTGTGAAATACTGCACAAATCTTGTTGTAAGAAAATGTAAAATGCTGTAGAAAACTTGGAAAAATGAAGGAAATTTGTTTTGATGAAAAAGCTGGTCAACCCTGTGATACTTACTTGTATAGTGCAAATCTTTTGCTTCTCTATTAGATAATTCAACCCAATTGTGCCTAATAAATTTAATGCAGTCATTGTTGCATACCAGTTTTATGATCTAGTTTCAGTGTTTTTGCGTCTATCAAGTTCTTGATATTATTTTTGGACCATTCTGTCAAACATTTTGTTTTGTTGTGTCCAGTGTTTGGGGGATCAGCAGTCAGCACTTGTTGGTCAAATGTGTTTCCAACAAGGACAAGCAAAAAACACTTATGGAACAGGATGCTTCCTTCTTTATAACACAGGTACTGCTGTAAGTATTTTTTCCTTACTACGCTTATATATTCCTGACTACCTTTTTTGTTCTTTATTTCATCCAGGTGTAGTTTGTGGTTGCTATTCCAGTTTTGATTTTGTAGAAATTTAAAAGTGTTTCAAATTTGTTCGAGTAATATGTGAACAGTGTAATACAGTATCTATTGATGATTTAATAATTCTCTCTTCCTTATATACTTGATAACTGATACATTACAAATTTTGAAAATATTTTTACACCTTAAAATTTAGTGTTCATCAAATGTTGATTTAAAGAAATCAACTTTGTTCCAAAGTAGGAAAGTCTTAAAAGAAAATTTTCAAGCTCTCCTGAAGAATGTAAGAGTTGACTGAAATATCTGGATTTTGTCATCCTTCAATTTGAAGTTTGTTGAAAAAAAAAGAAAATCTTAATGTGGAATTAAGTTCATATTAATTGACTTAAGCAATGAGAATTTTTTCCTTTTTAAATATCAATGTTTTTATAAATAATGTTTCATAAATTTTTATGTTTATAGATCCTCAATAGATAACAATGACAGGCTTAAAGACATTGATTATTAAACTTAAAACAAACTACTCTGCCTTTTTTTGACTGATTCTGATACAAGAAAGCGTAAATGACGTGAAGTGAAGTTTCATCCCCTTCAAATATTTTGTCACATAATATTTGAGCTTGCATGGTAGACAATATGCAAGATGTCAAAAAGCATCAATACATTTTTTAAATTCCTACTAGATATTTAAGAAATTATTAGAAAATGTTTCTTTTCTCATGGGTATACCTATTTACTTAGTATAATCTAGGGGTAACAACTTAAAATTTGGAGCTGAACTTATTATCTCTGACTAATATTTCATTCATGTTGTCTTTGTGATTTGACTGTGACATAAAAAAAATCATAAAATTTATATTTTATTACTGTACTTGGTATTGTTAGTGTGACATTGTGTTGCAGCTTGTTCACTCAACCCATGGCCTGCTTACTACTGTAGCCTACAAACTAGGCAAGAATGCTACTCCAGTGTATGCTCTGGAAGGAGCGATTGCTATTGCGGGAGTTTGTTTTCGCTGGTTACGAGATAATTTAGGAATATTGAAATCTGTTGAAGAATCTGAATCCATTGTGAGGGACATGACTACAAGAAGCGAAGTAGCTTTTGTTCCTGCATTTTCTGGTCTCTATGCTCCTTATTGGAGAAAAGATGCACGCAGGTAAGTGCTCCTGAATTTGCACTGGATTTTGTGAGAAGTTCAAAAGACTTTTGGTGTTGCACACTTGTCTGACCTTCAAAACCAATCTAGGGGCTTGGGGCAGGTGTGCCTAAGTGCAGAGCCAAGCCAGTGGGTTTTAATCCCATATATCGAATGGATATTTTCTATTGTTTATGGCTTGATGAGAGTATTCACAGTCTAATATATCTCTATATCTTGGTCCTTTTCAAATACCTTACTGGTTGTTAGTGTGCTATTGAGATCTTGTGGGAATTCTCTTGGCTGACCGGATTTGCTGTCAGGACTGGTCTTAGTAGACCAACCCTGAGAAATACCAAAAAAGTAATGTTGGTACCACAGTCTTCAACAAGGCATCACCCGGACAGCCAAGAGCATTTGCAAGACTCTGGCCACGGAAGCCTATGACTTCACTGAGATCTTCGGAGCACACAAGAACTGGTTCCCTAATCCCAAAAGAAGGTACAAGCTTCAAGATAGCGCCTAGGGCTTCCTTGGCAAGAGGTGATGGGAATAAAATGTGCTGATCACTTAGGAGTAGTAGGAGTACCCATGAAGCAGAATGGGATAATTCTTAGTCTTCGTCGTGTTCTTACGGGAATGAGTCAAACTAAAAAGCATTCCAATTGTAAAAAATGGAAATACACTCTTGTTTAAATTTTGCTTGGCTAATTGATGAAATTCAAAATGTAAGACTTTGGATTTTATCGGTGTATTTACTACATGCGAGAAGAGATTTATGGTACCAATCCTGAGAGAAGAAACATCTCCATTTGTGATTCAATTAAATGTGTTTCTTTAAAATGGATTTAAAATCTATAAAAAATCAATTACTAATGACACTATGTCATTGGACAGTGATACAGTACTATTTTTTTCTTTGGTTTTTATGAATATAATTGCTGATAATTTATTAAAAAATATATGGAAAGTATTTGTAATATGTGGTTTTCATCAATGAGAACATTATTTAAATATTACTGATAATTTAGGTTTCATGCCATACTGACAACAAATTATTCAGAAATTTTTAGAATTCATGTAATGTATCTGGATATGCTTTAAAGCATTACGAGTTCTGTAAAATGTTCAATTTTTGTCAGTTTTTCTCTCATTTTCATTCTTCTTGGGTGTGTGCTTAAACAAGATGTTAGCTTTTTTAGGTCTTTATTGTCAATTCAGTAAATGATATGTACGAAAAGATTTTTACTTTTTGCCTTTCGACAGTATTATCCAGAATGCTAAAATTTTGAATTTGTTCATAATTTTTGTGAAATTTTTAGAATTATCTTTTTTTTTTTTTCTTCCTCAAAATAAATTTTAAAAAATATTAAGTATTTGCATGTATATAAATAATTATATTAATCTGTAGACTTCTTTTAAAAATCAAATAATATTCTCCTAAAATATCTTTGGGGAAATCATATACTCCTTGTGTCAAGGAAAAACAGTAATACTCTTCCAAGGATGATAATCTGCAACTATTGAAACTGCATTTAGTGATTTTGGGTTCTCCTGTTTCATGATAGACATAGAATGTCGCTTCGAAATAATACTTATGAACATGTCTACTTTTTCAATATTTTTAATTCAGAGAATAATTGTGATTTACTATTGTTTCCAAAAAAAATATTTAATCATTATTCCCTAAAACCCAATTGTTTACTGATATGAGATAATACTACAAGAAATAAAAAAAAATTCAAAATTCTACAATAAAATGGTGCAATTTTATAAGGACTGCATTTATTAGTTGTTCATTTTCCATTTTCAGTGTAATTTGTGGGTTGACGGAAGAAACTCCCAAAGCGGCAATCGTCAAAGCAGCCATGGAAGCAGTGTGTTTCCAGACAAGAGACATCATGGATGTGATGAATCAGGAGTGTGGTATTCCTCTCAGAACTCTTCTTGTAGATGGAGGGATGACAGCCAACAATCTCATCATGCAGATGCAATCTGATCTCTGTGGAGTTCCTGTTGGTAAGCTGAAATACATTTAGAGTTTGCATGAGATATCTATGCACTTGATGACTGTTTAAGTGCAAGGAAACACAGGAATAGGCAGTAGAGCCATCTGCTGCTGATCACTATCACTGTACTATTATAGAGAAATTAAGAAGGGACCAATTTGACAGTTCATGCGAGTCATCTGCATACTTACGCATTAACAAATTGAGCACAGAAGGAGGGGCAGCTGGGGTAAACCCTCCCAGGCCCTGCCTTAATTGAGGCCCTGATTCTTTTTCATTTGAAAGAAATTAAAAATATATTCACCTCTAATCCAAATTTAATGCTATAAGTTATTACTGATGCCTGGAGAAATGAATTCTGGTTATGAATTGGGAGAGGGGGAAACTTTTTGTTCGAAATGGGGGGGCTCGTGTGGATCAACTGCCCCTCATCCGTGGTTTTCTTTGGGCACCTCTGCTGTGTATTATTTTAAAATCTTTTTTTAGCTAAATTGAACAGAAATCAATTTTTTACAGAAAGAAAAACCTCACTATTTGATTACTCTTTTAAGTGTTATATAAAATTGTGAACTAGCCCCATTGTTTCCCTTTTTTATCGCTCAAGGTATTGTTTCCATGACTTTCCATAAATATTCTTACTAAGTATACACATATGTATTCTTATTTATTTAAGAAACCTGTATGTTTCATTAGAATGTTCAGAGTAAAAATACGATGCTTTCTTCTTGCCTTTGTTATTTTCAAAATATGCTTTTTAAAAAATATTCATTTTAAGATTTCTTATTTGAGAAAATGTCCTTACAGTGAGGCCTTTGATGACTGAGACAACAGCGTTAGGTGCAGCGATGGCAGCAGGATATGCTGAGGGCATTAATGTTTGGGAGTTAAAGGGACATCAGGGTGTACCCAAAGACTACTTTTATCCCACAATCACTGAAGATGGTAAGCAAAAAAATACTTTATAATTTTGACATTTTTTTGTCACATTACGTGATATTTACAATTTATACATGTTTAACTGAATCCATTTAGATTAGATATCAATGTGGATTGCACGATTGAGGTGAATTAGAAAATATTTATTTACAAAAAACAAAGAGTAAGCGAAAATAAAACATAATTACATAAATAGTACAAATTCCATTAGTAAAATTGATTCAAAAATACAGATTTTGATTGTTATTTGAACATACTGATCAACAGAACAGTCAATGATGGAAAATCATTGTTTCCTTCTTTAACTGGTTTTGTAATCTGCCAGTGAAAACCACAATTAGTTCTGTGAGTTGAGATTGTAAGTTAATTATCTGTTTGTAGAGAATACTATGTCAAATTGAATACAAATTTTGATATTGAATTGTGGACCTACGAATACATAGTTAATGACAAGATACACATGTCAGTATAGATTCTATTAGATCTCAACATTCATAGACAAGTAAATTTGCAATTTTCAGCTATGACGTAATTACCAAAATAAGCAAGGCAGTGCATGGTTTTTGCAATACAGTCCCATGAAATAAGAGATAGACTGAGTTAAAATATGTCACATATTTGTAGCTGCAAGGAAGTAATATCTTGATGCTTGAAATAAATGAATTGCATTGTACACTTGTATATCAAAATAGTGTCCTCTCTAAATCACAGATATACGTTGTAGGCTATTTAGTTCTATTCAACATGTAAAGACTACGGGAGCTTCTGTGGTTATCAATAAGGAACAGAATTTATTGAAATAAAAAAAAGGAAACTATGTACATTTCCATGCACTTATGTTGTTTAATAAGTATGAAAAAATAGAAAATTTGTAAAATAAAAAATTCATTGTAATGTTTGAAATTCGTCTCTACACACGTTTTCTGAGCACAGATTGTCACTGATCTGATCTTAACATGGATTCAGAGAGGCTTAAAAAAAGTTTCTATCTGTATAGAAGTAATTATTCACTACTTTCATCCGATATAAATAATACTTTTCTGGTATAACCAACGTTGTTTACTAGGAGCTGGCGCTTGAGTGAATAGAACCATGTAGCCAGTTACGAATCACAGAGGAAGTGGTAAAGGGGACCCCCACCCTCTGCCAACATGATAAAACAATCATCTGAAAAATATTTGTTAGTTTTTGATAATATTTGTTAGTTTTTGATTGAGTTACACATGGGGTCGATAAGGCATGAGTGGTTGAAGTTACTTCTGCTTCTTATACCTCCACTCTCATCCTGATTGCTACTAACATAATTTCCGAGATGTGGAGGTGGGAGGGGGGTAAGCTGGTCCCGTTAATAGTGAATGTCCAGCATTAACAGAAGCGCATTGCATGGGTTACTAAGAAAGATAATTCAAAGTATCATATTGCAATTTCACATTTGAAATGTTCCATTTCAATCTATAAATATATGAAAATGTTACAAAATATGTAATACTATGTAAAATAATCTTGAAATTAATGAAATCAGGAAAAAATGCATTAAAAATGAGGGGAGGCAATGTAAAAAATGACTCATTAGTCGAGAGCGATGAAAAAAAAATTGTATAAAAATTTCCTTTTGTCATATCATAAAATTAATGTCTGTACTAAAAGGCATTGTTCTAAAGTGAAAAAAAAAATTACATTTCGTTAAAATGTGCCCCCTAGTTCTGAATAAGAATCTATATCATCTTCTGGTACTGAATATTTACATATTAATTTCATCCATGAAGCTAACAAATAATTGTTCATTTAAAGCCCTTTGAGACCATACAGAACATATTAAGAACTGAAAGTTTACTTGAACATCTCATTTTTCAAAATATGTAACCAAGGTAAAAAGAAATTTTTAAAGTGTTTTTTCAAAGCACTATTTAATGAATTTGAGAACATTGACACTGTGCAATATGAATTTGTATTTGTTTTAATTATCAAAATATTTATAAAATGTACATTCATTGTGTGGAAATGAAAAGGTTCTTGTTACAAGTGAAGTAAATTTGTCTGTCATCTATAGATATTAAATAATAGTTTGCTAAAGCCCAAGCATTAATACTGGATTGAATTATTTAATTTAATAATTGAATATTGGTATTTATTTCAAGTTTTATTTTAAATTAATGTCAATTATTGTTTTATCCAGAAAGAGATATTCGATATTCACGATGGAAAATGGCAATCAAACGGAGTCTGAATTGGCAGCCAGAAATCATCGCAGAAAAGGATGATAGTTGTGAGTATCTCTATATTTTTTAAATCTCAAAAATTACTCTTTTTGTTTATTATTGATCTAAACCGATTACAGTGTTGAAATATGGGAAAACAAGTACTATTTTTTGACAAAAAGTTGTTTGTTTAATTTATTCTGTGATTTGATTTTCATGATGATCAAGTTTCAAGATAGAATAATATTCATAAGCATATGAATGGATGCCATGATGGAGTGGTAATAGACAATGTAATCAAGACTTATTGTTTACAGTATTTTACCTAGAAATCAGCAGAAACATTTTGCTGTGAATATTCCAATAGTACTACTATTAGTAATACATTTCTATAATCCAGAGGAAGTTGTACTTTTTTGAATTTTACCATCTGACAGTCATTTCTGGAAAAGTCTTGTGTAACACATTCAAGAATTAAACCCTTTATATATTAATTTGTAAAAGCAAAGACACTTGCATAATTTCAGTTATCAGTAGAGGCATTATTTTTTCATCATTATTTTATCCAATTTGATGAAAAAGGTGATTATTAAATTTTAACAATATTTTTTAACTTATGCAAGGATACGCAAGATTAACCATTACAGGTAGAAAAAAATTAACTACCATTTTACCCTCAAATTGATGAATAAAAGTTTCTAGTCATTGTGCTGAAAAACACTTTGTTTCTGCACAGCGGTTTCTTGACAAATTGTTCTCTTATTACTCGAAGATTGTGCTTCTAGTAAATTGAAGCACTGAATATATTCTAAATATTCCCCCCCCCCCCAAAAATCTACTTCTTTCAGCTATAAGCTAATAAAAAAGCAAATTTGTGAATCAACTGAATTGGAGTACAAAATACGTCAACCAGTATCACACATGGCCAAGCAATCCTGCCTGATTTTAGGCTGTTGGAACTCTAACACATTAGCTGGCCATTAGAATTGCAGTGCACTCACTGTTCACAAATGATGCTAATGACCTCCTGGGTCTACAGCAGCCCTTCAAAATTTGGAAATGTGTATAGAGTTGCAGGGATATACCGACTGCAACAAAATTGAAAAAAGAAAAAAAAGAAAAAAAATACAATACTTTTTAAGAGAATCTATGCTTCTGAGGCCATCTTAGCAAAGGAATCATTTATTGCTAATGCTCTAAGAAATACATTGAGATTTTGTGGTTGTTTTTTCATAACTTGAAATAACTTACCTGTATACTACATAAAATATATTGTAAATGTCATTATTAGAGCTCGGAAGTTTGAAAAAATGCGTTTTTGTTATTGTTACTGTATCATGGCTTTTGACAATAGCAATCATTTATATGTGCTTCTTAAGTGGTGTTAATAGATTTTCATTTTGTCTGTTTTGGCTTCCGATGCCTATTTTTGGCTTTTTCTGCCTTTCTCATCATTGTTTTGCATTTTTCTCTTGGTACCTCCATATCTCAATCAAGCTGGTTATACACCCGCAAGTCTCGACAACACAAAGCATGATCATAATTTTGTCTTTCTGTGAATGCAGAGGCTGTGTTCAAAATTTAAATGAAAAAGAAGGATGATCACAGTCAAGATTTTTGATTTTTTTCATTGATGACAATTTTATTTTCTTATGCGACAGCCCATCCTTCTGTACTTTTGAGTATGGCCTCTGATCCCATTTGAGGGCAGTCTTTGTAAGATATAACCTTCTCACAACTGGTGATTGTCAAGAGCAAAGAATGAAAAATATAATTTTGTTTTTACTAATGTCAATCCAAGATTCAAAAGGGAGTCTACAATAAAATTTCAAAGACACAGCATCAGGAGTAAAAGAAATTTCTAGCCATCACACCAGATAATCATGTGGAATCAAGATTACAAATAAAATTTTGTTTCCTTTGTAATCTTGACAGACATAATGAAGGCTAACATAAATGACAGAAAACTCAAAAATAGTGAAAATGTTTGAGTTAGAATAAATGAGTGACTCGTTTTAAATATTAATTTTTTATTATAATTCCTTTTAAATGTTTTTTTTTCATTGTTTATATGCCTTTTTACACCCCAACATTAGCGAGAATAAATTTCCTTTTCATGCCTATTTCAATAAAAATAAATGCCTGAACTTCCTAGCTCTAGTCATTATATATTTATTTCAACACTATGATAGTGTGATATAGCACCACATAGTATTATTAACATGAAGTTGGTATTCAGAAAGAAGATAATGGCTGAGAATCGATTAACATATCTCTGTGCAATATTTGTGCAACACTTAAATTTTAAACCTCATGTTGATATCAGTTCTCAAGACAAAGTGGTTATGTTCTCAACTTTGTGCCCACACCCATGCTCCTGCCCTTGACTGACTTTGTTAGAAGCACCATGGGTCAAAGTATGCTGTACTAGTCTCTACTAGGCTGCTCCGCATTCCTGACTGCAGCGGAAAGATTCTGTTCACTTCATGCTTCACTCATAAACATCGATTCTTGTAACTGAAATGCTCTTAAATACCTGTATTCAGTGCTTGCATTTCCTGAGGTTGAAATAAACAGTTGATCGAATTATCTTCGCTCCTTTGTCAGAATTTGTGTAACAATCCGAACAATATTGTGTGTGATAACTAAGAATTTGAACCAGAATGAAAATGAATCAAGAACTTCTTAGATTCTAAGTTTCTTGTATAACCTATTCATAATGGATTTAATGAGAATTTTGCTTTTAATGCAAAAATATATAGATTTTGCTTCATAAATGTATATGTCCTGAAGAAACAAATTGTATTGAATTCTGACTCCCAATGATTCAGTTTTACTGACTTAGTCATTTGTAAAATGTTGCATTAATTATTTTATTCCAATTTAAAGTATTAATTTTTTTCCTGTTTAAATTTTGACTTTTAAAACTCAAACAGAATAGAACAATTTAAATGTTTAAAATTTGATCTGACTTCGTTATACAAAAAAAATTGCATTACCCTTTGCTTTTATTAGAATATATTAGCCTAAGAAGCACAAGATACATTTATTGACAAATTAAAAATTAAATACAAAACAATACTACAATAGAATTCAATACAATTTCTGAAATTATCATTCCTTCCAAATTCTCTTGCTGTGTTACAATAACAAAAACAAAAAATATACATTAGAATTCAATTCCTACTTTAAAATAAGTTGACTTGAAGACTCCCTGTGAACTCAACATAAGTAAAATTGTTTTCATTAAAGTTAGTTCACTTCCCTACCTTCACCTTTACCTACCTTCACCATGTATATAGTAACATTACGTCCTTTTTATTTGATATCAGTAACAAGTTATGGCTCAAGTCAAATAAAAATGAAAGAAAACAGTAACAAAACATGGGATAAATAATGCAAACTATTCAAATTTGAGCCTGACAGTTATATTTTGTACTAAACAATTAATATGCTTAATTGTAAAATTAAGAAAAGAGTTATGTTATATAAGTTTCTAAAATTTTAATTTATAATGATACAGTGACATTTTTCTAATTAAATTAAGCTCAAACAAATTAATGTTTTAAAAGTATTTTAGACAAATTGAATATGAACAATCTTAGAATAGTTAGAGATAACAGATAGTAATGTCAATTGATTTTTGGCATACACCTGATGATGTGAAAACGTGAGTACCCGAAACATTGTGGAAAATTTATCAATAAATGTCATAAAATTACAAAAGTGTTTATTTAATGGTGCATAACTGCTAACGATATGGAATAAAAAGGATGAAATATTACTATACACAAGTTAAATTGTTTGTGTACAACACCTTTCTTTTGAGTCAGCAGCACACCACCAATGAATTTATACGTTCAGTCTCCTTCCAGATTTGTAATTCACCAACATTGCAAACCATGCAGAACATCTTTATGACTATTCCACTCATGAAATCAAAACCAATAGTGTTCAATTATACGTACAAAATGTCCCGATTAGGACGGTGTAACTCAAAAAGTTTATTGCTTTTTCTTACCCGCTTCTACCAAATTTCCAAATGCCTTTCTGCCAAATTTTCTTACCCGCTTCTACCTACTGGCCAATATAAACTGTGACTCATCTATCTTAAGAGGCATTATACATTGATGGCTATTTCGATGACCATTAAACAGTGTATGTACTTTAACATAACTTCTGATTTTTAACAAACACTTTCAGTTATTTTCAATATTTGGCGCATTTTGGAACTCTGTTAGGCATAATTTCACTCGTGGAATAATCCTATTAAATACCACTTGTGCTTTGGAAATTCCCAGATAAATTCTCTCCTCACTTCAACAATTTCCAAGGCACTCATAGTATTACCTAGGATAATGATTAATGTTGTCATTCCCATCAAGTCCATTCCGATAGAGTGAAAATGAATTTTCTTTTGGAAGCCACGAACGATGATTATAGAATTTCTTGTCAACATTGATCAAATTATTTGTGTCCTTTACTCACAACTTTTACATAATATATAGTTATGTGAGTTATATATATGTATATTGTTACGATATAACAATTGTTTGCATCAATCAAGCTGACATACAAATAGTGAAAACTTGTTAATGTGTCATCTCGACATCTCAATTGTTCAAAAGCCCTTGTTAATTTTTCCTTGTCATCAACCAACAAAACAAAGATCATCACAACTAGTTTCCTTTGTTCCTAAGTACTAAAGTTCATTGTAAAATTACCCATCGAATTTTCCACTTTAGACTATAGTAATTTTAAAAAAATATTAACATCGTGGAAATTTTACCCTAAACGTACTACTATGTTTACTTTGAATAATTTTAAATTTCATAAATTATAAGTTCATATTAATTTCCCAGTATTATCTTGAATAACAACAACATTTTTACACCACATATTAATTTTGTTATGAGATCTGTAAAAATTAAAAAAAATTGTAACTTATTGTTTGCCCTGCAACTGAAATGCAGGCATTCTTAATGATGCTGTGTCCCCCATTTTAATGTTTACCAATTTTTTTTTAGTTCTGTGTATTAAATGTAGCAAACATCCTTTTCTATCAGTC